ACAACCCCCCCCCCCCTAAAAAGTCTCCCGGAGGGGGGGTGTCCCTTCTTCTTCGACGGCGGCGGCGGCTGAGGCGGCCCTTCTCCTGGGAGGCCCCAGGCTCGACCCCTGAGGGAAACCGAGGGGGGGCCCTCTTAGCTCGGGGTGGGGGGGTCGACGGGAGAGAAGAAGCGGCCTCTTCTTCAACCCCCACCCCCTCCTCTCTCCTCCGACGCCTCCCGGAGCGGCTCCTTTCCCCGCGACGACGCCGGAATGTGAGGGGAGGAGAAGGCGGCCGTCGAGCGGGTCCTTCGCGCCCCTCTCTTAAACCTCCCCCCTTCCTTTATTCCTCCTCCTCCTCGTCGTCGTCGTCTCTGCAGGCCTCGAACCGGTTTGACTCCGCTTCGCCTTCGCACCCCTCCTCCTCCTCCTCCCGCCCGCCTGCGATCCTGAGGAGATTCTCTTTAGGCCGAGATGGTCCCCGCCGGCAGGCCCGGCTTCGGCTCCGCTCGGCTCTTTTCGGCTCCTTCCGCCGGTCCCGGGACTACTTTCCTCCCTCCCTCCTTCGCCTCGCGCATTCGCGCCACGCCTCCTCCACTCCGCCGCCCCCTCCCTCCTCCCCTCCCGTCTCGCTCATTCTCTCTCTCTCCACGCCTCCTCCTTGCCTTTCCCGGAGGATCCCTCCGCCGGGACGCGGTCATGTCGCTTCGCGGCTTCGCTTCGACTTTCTCTCTTTTTTTTTCTTCCTCCGCCTCTGCGAAGGAGGAGGGAAAAAAAAGGCCTGGAAGGAAAAGAGCCCCTCTCCGAGGAAAGTTGGCCAAAGAGAGGGGGAGGGTTAGGGTGTCTCGAGTGGAGTAAAGGGGGGGGGAGGGCTTGCGATCCACGGCTCGTTTGGGAAAAGGGCTGCCAAAAAAAAAAAAACAACCCTTGGTTTGTGGGCTCCAATGATGCCAACGAAGCGGGGGGGGGGGAGGCTGAGTGAGAGAGGAAGGGGGGAAGAGAAGAAAAATTAAAATCTGCTCCTGCAGCCACGGGGGGTGCAAGGTTCGCGGTGGTTTTTGCCTCCCCCGGGCCCCGAATGAGCCCTCCTGGCGATGGAGACAAAAGCCACCCCACTCCGCCCTGAAGCCCTGGGCAGGAGCCCCCCAGGAAGGGAAGGGAAGGGAGGGGGTGGATCATCCCCACCCCTCCAAAGGAGAAGGACAACAGCCTTCGGAATGGGGAGCGTTCAGGGATGAGAGATGGTGTGGTTTGCCTATTGTTTGCACACCTAGGTTTTTTTTTTGCCGCCCACTAAATATTGACGTCCGAGGCAACTGGGTGGTGGGTTTGGCTGCAACGGAGGTAACAAATAGCTGCCCCCTCCCGCCCTAGTTTGGGGAGAAGTGGCATGGCGTTGCCCCATCAAGGCAAGAGAATTGTTGTTGTTTAGTTATTAAGTCACGTCCGACTCTTCGTGACCCCATGGACCAGAGCACCCCAATGACCTTCCACTGCCTCCCGGAGTTTGTTCAAATTCATGTTGGTACTTTCAATGACACTGTCCAACCATCTCATCCTCTGTCGTCCCCTTTCTCCTCTTGCCCTCACACTTTCCCAACATCAAGGTCTTTTCCAGGGAGTCTTCTCTTCTCATGAAACCAGGAGAGAATACATCTGTGCAAAGGTATTTTCACACCAAATGGTAACACACCTACAAGGCGCCCTGTGGGATTTTGCAAACTGCGGCACCTGCTTCCCTGGGTGCGTTTCCTGGATGCAAGCCCACCCTCAATCATCTCCACTGTAGAGGGACCACCTATGCCCGATGAGCCCTCCTTGCATCTAAGAAAGGAAGGGCGGAAAGCTCGCACTGTAACAATGTTGTTAGTCTATCTATAGACAATGCAGTGTGATTTTTTTTGGGGGGGGGGTTTCATTCCAAGTAGCTATGTGATTCATGTGAGGGGGTGACTCCTTTTCGAGCTCACTGAAAGTTGTCAACAAAGCATCCTTTTAAGCCACGCAGAACTCTTCCAAATAATAAGTAATATACAGTATTAAGAAACAATAAAATTAGCAAAAAAGGGGGGGGAGGTGGAGGGACAAAGATAGCAGCAAATATGAATGAACAAAACATTGCAAACCATTTTGACATTCGTTCTCTGAAGTTTGATAGGCGTCTTGGGGAGAAAGAAATGCCCATGCATGCATGTTTGGTGCATACACTACATACAGAGACACAAACACAGGTTTGAAGTTCCTCGGACCAATGCCAAAGATGATATTTCTTTTGGGCTATTGAACCATTTTAAAGAAGAAAAGAACTGCATATAGTCAGAGACATGTTTTAGGTGTCTTATAATAAGTGTTGCCTTTAAAATGATTTGTGCATATTTATTATTGTCATGTCAATAAATTCTTCAGAACTATGAAGAGTAAAAAGAGAAAGGCAAAACATAGAAACGGGCACACAAAAAACTTGTAACTATCAAGTAAAAAGGTGCAGAAACAACTATATTTATACGCTATGAGTGTTTTTTTTTCCTCTTCTTCCTTTGTATATATTGATGCAGCACAAGAGGAAGGAGAGCAGACACATAGGCCTGAAATACTAGCATAAAAACATGAAGAAGTGTCACTGTTTCATTCATATCAACTGAATCAATATTCAGCAATGTATTGTGCAATATTTATGTGACAAATAAATGTGGTGTGTAAGAATTGCTGCCAATCGGGACCTGAAATTATAAGAGGTTCTGGTCTCCAGTGAATAGCCACCGTTATTTACACTGGCTTACTTTACAGGAAGGTGTTGAAGATAAAGGCAGATGGTGGCTAGAAACCCCACTTTGAGCTTCTCAAAGCAAAGGCAGGGTATAAATGTAAAAGATAGATTATACTACAGTGTAGCATTGGTTGAAATCTACTAGTAAGCCACAACTAAAGTTGGTCCACTGAATCAGTGGAATATGCAGATGAATTGGCTCACATACACCCCACTGATTCAGTGCGCCTATTCTACTTGTAACTTACTAATGGATTTCATCTAGTGTAAATGTCCCAGCTAGGGAGCTACACTAGGATTCAGAAGGTCTGGGTTCAAACCACCGTGCAACCATGAAATCTAATAAGTGGACTTTGACCAGTCATGCTTTCTCTGCAAGGGAAGCTAGAAGGGATCCTATAGATCATCAAGTCCAGCTTCTGTCAAGAAGGCACAGTAGGGAATAAAACTCCCATACCTAAACCACTGAGCTTCCCAGAGTGAATCGCCTCATGCTGAGAAGATAGCTTAGACACTCCGTACAGAGGTGATCATTCCATGTCAGATTTGGGGGCTTACCTCTGGTGCATCTTGCAAAAGTCCCATTTCCCTTAGTGGGATCACATATCTGCATGCTTGGAACTGGACTAACAGATTCAATTTCCTCAAGAGCTTAGAAACAAATCATCCTGACCCCGGCTGTTCCAGTTTTAATTACTGTTTATTGCTGCTGCTTTATCTCCCAACGCTTTTAGGTTGCTGGGTTACATTTTTCTGCTTTGATATGTTATCGTTTTAAAAATAAACACAGGACACTTAGGAAGCCTATCTGTAGAAATGCGGTTTTTTTAGAGAATAATAGGAGAAGTAAAAGAAGCAAGCTCTTAGCAGCAAGGTATGATCCAGGGAAATCGAAACTGGAACATTAATTCAAGGCAGGCTTTCCTTCCGATAACTAGTTGACCGGGGTGATTTTTGTGTGCGAAAGGAGCATTTTATTCTGTGTTTTATTTCTGTATTCAATATTGTTCTTACTGTGGGTTTTAATGTGATATTTGTTCAATTATATATTTTTATTTTATTTTAAATATTTCTATCCTGCCTTTCTCCTTAAAAAGGACTCAAGGCAGTTTACATAGTTAAAAGGTCAATATTTAAAAGCTAAAATATTAAGCATACAAATATTTAAAAGTTTAAGAAAGAATTAAACAAGTATTACAGTATATTAAAAACGGTAAGTGAAATTCAAACTAAAACACATTTCAAATAACAGTTTTAACAGAGCACAGTCCATTTAAAAAAATGCTCTCGGACCACCCATCAATAAGGAAAAGCCTGCCTGAAGAGACAGGTCCTTACCTGCTTGTGGAGGGACAAGAAAGATGGGGGCAGCCTAGTTTCAATCCTTTTAAGTATCTTCACAATAGTATTTGGTTTTTAACTTTCTTATGGATGGATGGATGGATAGATGGATGGATAGATGAGTGGGTGGGTGGGTGGTTGGGAGTGTGGACGGACAGACGGACAGGAGGACGGACGGACGGACGGACGGACGGGAGGGAGGATGGATGGATGGATGGATGGATGGATGGATGGATGGATGGATGGATGGATGGATGGATGGATGGATGGGAGGGTGGATGGAGGATGGATGGATGCCAGACAGGAAAGGGGATTACAGTTGGGTGTTGGGCCCTAATCCTATTCACCAGTGGCAACTGATGGCCACTGGGGCAGCTGGTGAAATAGAGAGGGGCCAGCACAGATAGACCTTTCATCTGGTTTACTATCAAGCCACTTCTCTTTGGATTGATTGATTCCACCTTCTTCCATGGCATTGATGGTTGGGAGGAGCAGGGGGGTCATGAACCTACGTCCCCAAACACTAGGAGCATTCCTACAAGCCATGTTTTCCTATATGTAAACCCCAATGCACCTGGTACTGCTTCTTTCTAAGTTTTGCGCTGCACACCCCACTCCAATTTCTCTGCCTCTGACTAATTTCTCTACTAATATTAGGTCCTTGAGGTGCTCTTCCCA